CGAGCACCTTGAGGAATCAGCAAAACGTTCACGGTGCGGTCTTGCTTGCGTTGGGAGGTTTTGTTAAAAACTCGTTTCCGGAGCAGGAAAAGGGATAATGCTTCCAGAGTTCTCCAAGATACTCATTTGCACGTGCAAAGTTATGGCCGCTGCAAAAAAAAACCCAAACTGGACAGAGTTGCTGCGAAACACGGGCTGTGAATGCCCGAAGGGATGCAGTGGATGGCTGGTTGCTGATGGTGCACAAAGCTTTGAGAAACGGGGTTAATGTTTATCTGCTGCTGTTTGCTGAAGGTTCGGAGTTATTTTACTGAAATGCCTTTTGCCTGGTAGGGTGTTTGTTGGCTGTTTTGTAGGAGGGAAATCGCTCCGTTCTGGGAACAAAAGTCAGGGTTGTGCCAGGTGAATGGGAGTAGTGATTGGTTTTCCACCAGTCTCAAATCCTTCCTTAGTTTACACTGAAGATTTTAGAACTAAAACGTTGTAGTGGGACTGTGTCGCTTCAGAAGTTGTCTGCTTTTGAAAGTCTTGGGTTGAAGATCAAGTCATGTTGAGAACTGAATCTTAATTGGAATGTCTTTATTTTGTAGACGTTTTGGAATGGTCTCAGTCAAAACGTCCTCAGAGCAGCCTCCAGCAGGAAATATGCGTAAGTCATTTTCTTTGGGTTTGTTATGTTTGGCTGTTTAATATTTATCTTTGCTCTCCTCCTGATACCAGAAATGATTGTTGGAGTAACAGAGCGAAACCAGCAAGACAAGAGAAAACTAGAACCTATATGTGTAGATTCTCTAAGGCTATTGCTTTATTTCTTGACTTTTTTTCAGAGGACCTTTAAGAATTGTTCTTTCCCCGTTTTGACCACCAGCAGCACCCACAAAATGTGGATTGTTGAGATTGATTTGTTTGATTAAAAAAAAAAAAAAAAATCCCAAACCTGAAAGAAAAAAACCAACCCAGCAAACAAAAAAAAGTACTCCAAGCACTGGTGCAACAACTTGTTTTACACTGGCGTGAAATGAGGGTTACGAGTGGCTCCGTTTCACTACAGATAAAGTTTATTTTAATCGCTTGCTCTTCTTGTTGCATGATAATGGGAAGAGCAGCAGTTTGTTGTGCAACTCAGTCAGGTGTTTTATGGCTGATGCTGATTCAGGACGCAGACTGAGAAATCTGTTTGTGTGAGGAAAACTGCCCAGTTCTGGTTGGTAGAGAGAAACCGAGTGGTTGCCCATTTCCAGATTGCTGATTTGTGTTACCTGAACTGGAGTGAGGGTGACTTGGCATCTTGGGGAGTGAGGAGGTGGTAGAACAGGACCCTTCTCTGCCTTCAGCATGCTTTCTTCATGTTCCTAGAACGTGGCTTTGTTTGTAATGCTAAACTCTGACTCAGGAGTTCTCCCTAGCCTTGAAAGGGGAATACGTCCTCCCTAGAAAGAAGGAAGGAGTTCACATCTGTCTTGTGCAAGGACCACTTCTGTTTCTCAGAATCGAATGAACTTGTTGCTCCTCAGGGTCAAAAAGATGGTTATCTTTGGCTCTGGCTCCCAGGAGCCTGCATGGGTTGAGTAATTTGTTGTCTTTTTGAATTATGCTCTTCGTGTGAAGTAGTAATAAATAAACCAGTATGATTTATTATCAGCATTTTGACTCCAGGTGGATGTTTTCAACCAAGTTTGAACATCAAAAGTAACCCAGAGCAAGTCCTGTGTAGGGACAGAGTAAGTTGTGGCTTGGTTTTATACCAAAATCTTAAGGCGTGTTGAGAATATACGAAGTAAAGATTATTCTGGTGAAAAATAGTATTTTATATGTTTATTGAAGCGAGCGAGGATTTACCTATAAGTGATCTGATGGAAAACAGGCACAAGGTTAAACTCCTGCATAGGAATCAGAGAACACCTTAGGTCAAATTACAATGTGTATTTGCTTCAGCTTCTAGTGAAACATCATTTTGCCCTGCCTTCAGGAAAGAAAGTCATTTTGCCATCTGGTTATTGTCGTTTATTAATAATTTTGTTTTTCTTACAACGTGCCTTACAGCTCAGAAGCGATTAAAGGTGCTGTTATTGGAATCGATTTGGGTACAACAAACTCCTGCGTGGCCGTTATGGAAGGAAAGCAAGCAAAGGTAAGGAAAAAATGAATACAGCTTATCACAGAATCACAGAATGTTGGGGATTGGAAGGGACTTCAAAGGATCATCTAGTCCAATCCCCCTGCCAGAGCAGGACCACCTAGATCAGATCACACAAGAACGTGTCCAGGCGGGTTTGGAACATCTCCAGAGAAGGAGACTCCACAACCTCTCTGGGCAGCCTGTTCCAGTGCTCTGTTACCCTTATTGGGAAGAAGTTCTTCCTCATGTTAAGTGGAACCTCCTATGTTCCAGCTTATATCCATTTCCCCTTGTCCTATCATTGGATGCCAGTGAGAAGAGCCTGGCTCCATCCTTTCCGTATTTATAAACATTAATGAGGTCCCCCCTCAGTCTCCTTTTCTCCAAGCTAAAGAGACCCAGCTCCCTCAGCCTTTCCTCAGAAGGGAGATGCTCCACTCCCTTCATCATCTTTGTGGCCCTGCGCTGGACTCTCTCAAGCAGTTCCTTGTCCTTCTTGAACTGAGGGTCCCAGAACTGGACACAATATTCCAGATGCGGCCTCACCAGGGCAGAGTAGAGGTGGAGGAGAACCTCTCTCGACCTACTAACCACACCCCTTCAAATACACCCCAGGATGCCATTGGCCTTCTTGGCCACAAGGGCACATTGCTGGCTCATGGTCATCCTGCTGTCCACCAGGACCCCCAGGTCCCTTTCCCCTGTGCTGCTCCCCAACAGTTTAGTCTCCAACTTGTACTGGTACATGGGGTTGTTCTTACCCAAATGCAAGACTCTACACTCGCCCTTGTTGTCTTGCATTAAATTCAACGTCGAATGTCCAAATCAGTGTTTTCAGAGATTTTTTCCATGGCATCCTGTTACCTTTTTTCCACAGGTGCTGGAGAACTCGGAAGGCGCCCGGACAACGCCGTCGGTGGTTGACCGCGTTCGGTGGTTGGGTGCACGGCCGACGGCGAGCGCTTGGTGGGCATGCCGGCCAAGCGGCAGGCGGTGACCAACCCGCACAACACCTTCTACGCCACCAAGCGACTCATCGGGCGGCGCTTCGACGACTCCGAAGTGAAGAAGGATATGTGAGTGAGGGGGAGGGCAGTTCCACTTCCAGCAGGAATGCGTAAAATCCAGTGCTGTATAACGTGACGCGTTGTGGTTGGAAATAGAATCCTCTTCTGGATGGAGTAGTTACGCCCTCATGTCTCAGAGTTTCGTTGCTTGTATTCTGAGGGCCAGGCTGTGATTTACTGTTAGTTACTGATTGTTGTAAGGTTTTCAGAGAAGAAGAAAAAAGCTTTACATGCTGTACAGTATGGTCAGCGTCAACCAGTAAAGACTTTTTTGATTCTTGACGTTTAGAATCAAAGCTGTACGATCATGCATGTTCATCTGCTGATACTGATTGTAGGGGCTTTGTGCTGTGTGCTGATACAGAAACTGAGTTTGGAATTATTCTGGTTTTTAGTAAGAACGTTCCATTTAAAATCGTCCGTGCCTCCAACGGTGACGCCTGGGTAGAGGCGCATGGGAAACTCTATTCTCCAAGCCAGATCGGTGCCTTTGTACTAATGAAGATGAAGGAGACTGCAGGTTGGTACAGTTTGGTCTTTTCCATGGGTGAACACACTTGTGACCTCGATGCTGGGCAGTGGTAAATGGAAGTGCAGCAGCTGTAAAGCTACTTTTTTGCGGTGGGGATGCTTGTATAGCAGGCCCTTCTGTGGGGCAGATCATGGAAGGTTGCAGCAATTTGCTGTTAGGAAGCCTCAAGGGGGATCAGTGTCTCTACCTTGGTCTCTGGGCACTTAAAACATGTTCTTATCAAAACTGAATGCTAATTGAGTTGATACTCAGTTTTAATTGAATTGAACGCACAATTACTCAGAAGGGGGAGCTCCTTTTCCTTGTGCCTCCCTGGCTGCAGCTGAGCAGCCAGGATTTTGAGTGGCTTTGTTCTTGTTCAGCTGCTGGGTACGTAGCAAGAAAGGCAGTGTTCAAGGGACCTGATTTTTGCTCTGAAGGAATAGCTTCTCAGCCAGTGGTGACTTTAAATCTTCACTAGGGGAAGATATCCATTGGCCTGGAGAAGCTTTTTTTTCTCCTTTTCAATTCCTAATGCGATTCTTGGGGAAATTGAGTATAATGCAAAGAGATAATAGTCAGTAGCTGCCTTCCACAGCCTCATTTGGTAAACGTTGTGCCTACAGTGATAAATGCTTGCAGGGCAGGACTAAAAGTTGTTACTGAAGCTTCTTTTAGTGTTAGGTCCTGGACGTTTACTAAAACTCCACCCAAGGGTAAAAAAACAAGCATGTGGTGCATGAGCATCTAGATGTGGTGAATCTGACCTACTCTGAGGATGGTGTTCCCCTGCTTAAGCAGGAGTCTGTTTCCTCTAGATTTGTTGGCTTTTGGCCTGGATGCTGCTAGAACTCAACGACAGAACAATCTAGCTTTGCAAGCAACACAGAATAGTGTAGTGTGTAAGGTCTGTGCAGGGCTAACGTATAGGTGTAATTCCTCTCTGTGCCTTCTCACTGCATCACGCACATCCTGATGTTTTAGCAGATGTGAATCTGTATTTATTTACTTCTCTTTTTTTTTTTTTTGAGTGTGACTTGCTGTCTCAAACACTTGCAGACACGGTATACGTACGTTTTTGGTACTGTATAAATGTTACCTACAGCAGACTCTAAAGAGGACAGAAATGAGTGAGTTTTAAGTGCATCACGTTGAACACTCCAAAGAAATTGAAAACAACTTCAGTCTTGAACACTAAAAAGAGACATTAAGCTCTCAGATGAGTCCTCACTCACTGGTGGCACCCAGTTACTGGTTGAACTGTGGAGGTGCTTTGCTGTTCTGTGAGAAGTCTACGCTGTTCCATGTTACGTGGAAGGACTTGATTTCTGCACAGCTCCCTCTGCATCTTCCCAGAAAGCAGCAGGTTCTTGAGCAGCAGGCCTGTCTTCTATTCTTAGTTCAGGAAAATTATTTCACACTACATGGTAATAATGTTGTTATTCTTATCTTGTAAAGATAGCTTTCTGTTTTGTCTCCTTTTTTCTCCAGAAAATTACTTGGGACATTCAGCAAAGAATGCTGTGATCACAGTCCCTGCGTACTTCAACGATTCCCAGAGACAGGTATTCACCACGCTATAAGATTTTTCAGGCTTGTGAATCGCATTTAGTTTCTCTCAGTACGTAGCACTCTTATAGAACGGTTTGGGTTGGAAGGGACCTCACAGATCATCTAGTTCCAACCTCCCCGCCATGGGCAGGGACACCAGGTTGCTCAAAGCCCCATCCAACCTGGCCTTGAACACTTCCAGGGATGGGGCAGCCACAGCTTCTCTGGGCAACCTGTTCCAGTGTTTCACCGCCCTCATTGTAAAAAATTTCTTCCTTAGATCTAATCTACATCCTGTATCTAATCTCTTCCTCTTTTTTCCTCAGGCTACAAAAGATGCTGGGCAGATCGCTGGCTTGAATGTTTTGAGAGTGATTAATGAGCCAACAGCAGCTGCACTTGCCTATGGTCTGGACAAGTCTGAAGACAAAGTGTAAGTTCCTGTTGGTAACACCTAGCCTCTCTTAAATAAGCCTGCTGTAATTTGCTTTGTAAATGCCTTTTCTGCTTTCTTCAAATCATTGTTTGGAATTCTGCCAAAGTAGATTCGCAGCTGTGAGTCAGAGCTACGTCATGTCACCTCTGTTCTGTGCCAGCCATACTTGTTAGAGAAAGGGAGTTCGTAACTTGCAGCTATGACTTAATTATCAGAGCTGAGTATAAATTTAATATTACCTAGTGGGAGCAGTGATAGATGTAGCTAAGGGCAACTGGGTGAGGGGCTGTCAGAGTTGGTGCTGAAGTGTAGCATGAGAGGTATGCTGAGGTTTCATGCCTGGCATCCACAGCTTGCATCTTCTTCCCTGCCCGCATTCAGCCTTCTGTCCCTGTCAAGGGTGGTTATATAAATGCAGGGGTTTTGTTACAGATTTTGTGTTTCTGATGTAGATTATAGTGCTGTGAAAGCCTCATGCTTTGAAAAACATGTTTCATAATGGTTCTGGTGTCCCTGCCCTTGTCGTTGGATGCGAGTGTGTCTTTTTTTTGAAAGAGGAGGAACTGCCCTCTCTGAAATAGCGAGCAAGGTTAAACATCATGCAGCACATCTCGCAGAGGAGACTTCCCACGTGGACTCGGAGTGCTCAAGGAATGTGTACACTGTGTAATTTGTTTAGTGCCATCTTTAGAGAGGCTTTTCCCTGCTGTGGATTCTGCACACTGCATCTCCTGAGGAGAATGGCTTTTGAGCCACACAACTTTGTCTGGAAAGTAATGTTTTTCTGCATCTGTTCTTCTAGTATTGCAGTCTACGACTTGGGTGGTGGCACTTTCGACATTTCCATTTTGGAAATCCAGAAGGGCGTCTTCGAGGTGAAGTCCACCAATGGCGACACTTTCTTAGGTGGAGAAGATTTTGACCAGGCTTTGCTACAGTATATTGTTAAAGAGTTCAAGAGAGAGGTAAGGTGTCTCGTCAGAATTCAGTCTTGTGTTACACTGGTTTTCAACCCCTCTTAACTTCTATAGAAGAACGGGAGTTTTCTTAAATTATTAAGACTTGGTTTGTAATCTATGGCACAGTTGAAATTTAAGAGTATTAGCCACCTGTTAGCCTTGCTTCCAGTTCTTAACACTTGTTTTCTTGAGGTGGAATATTCCTCTCCTGGAAGACAGAATAGCAAAACTTTTGCCTTTTTTCCCCTAGCATAGCAGGACTATCCTACGCATAGTCTGCTTACTTTCAGTAATCAAAATCTGCAGTCCGATTCAATGTGTCAGCACAGATGCATACAATAGAGGGTTGGCTGTAGGAAACTGCAGTGTAATTCCAGCTCCTTTGCTAATTCACTCTTGCCTTTATATTCTGTGATGCAGCAGCTTTTTCAAGCTTTAATCGGTTACTTGCTGTATAATCAGGGCTAGCAGATGTTTTCCAAATGCTAAATACATTTGCCAGAAGTAAGAGAAATCAGCAATATCAGTCTGTACAAGCATCTTCATAGTCAAGAGTGATGGGAAGGTGGACTGTAATGAAGAAAACCTCCACGATCCCTGTGCAGAAGCTGAGAGTCTGTTAACCCGTGTCATTTGTCACTTAGATGGGTGTTGACCTGACTAAAGACAACATGGCCCTCCAAAGAGTGAGAGAAGCCTCAGAGAAAGCAAAGTGTGAGCTTTCATCGTCTGTGCAGGTAAGTGGCTGGTTTCAGAGCAGGCCAGTGAAACATTTTGATACACTGAGTTTTGCATTATTTTTGTTACCAAAGCTGTCTGAAATTGCTGCTTTTTGTTTTTTCTTGTGGCAGAACAAGCTTCTGTGTAACCAAATGACATCACTTTAATAGAAAGACCTTTAGCAGGGTAAACTGTTCAGGAGCACAATTAGTTGTCGGAAGCTGAGAATGTTAGCAGGTGCTGGGTTTTGCCTTTCTTCTGGCACCCTGGTTTCTCATCTCGCAGCTGCTGTGATCTTCCTCTCAACTTGCTGTGTGTTTCAGAAGTATGATGGGCATCAGGGGCAATGGATTTAAACTGAAAGAGGGGAGATTTCGATTAGATATAAGAAAGAAATTTTTTACCTTGAGGGTGGTGAGGCACTGGCACAGATTGCCCAGAAAAGTTGTGGATGCCCCATCCCTGGAAGTGTTCAAGGCCAGGTTAGATGAGGCTTTGGGCAACCTGGTGTAGTGGAGGATTTCTCTGCCCATGGCAGGGGGGTTGGAACTAGATGATCTTTAAGGTCCCTTCCAACCCTAACCATTCTAGGATTCTATGAATCCAGCTGCAGCTAGCACTGCTGGGCTACTAGAAGCACTTGCAGCTTTGTGCAAGCAGTTCCAAAATCTTGGTGCTACTCGTTCCACTGAAGCAGCTAATTCGTCTAATAACAAGAAATAATTTCTCTAAAGAATCTCTTCTTATTTGCCTATAGAAGAGTTGTCTAGACAATGGGCAACATATAACCCTTTTCTTTTTACCACCCACTTTGTATGTTGATGCATTCAAGCATGTCCTTTATTCACTACTGAATAAGGGGCTGGACAAGCAGCAAGTCGGGGGGGGGTGTAATAGTCTTGTCTAAGTGAAATTAAGGTCAATTATATAGTAATTGAAATGGGGACTCTGCCAATTTCTAGGATCTGAATAAACATATTTTTTTTGATGGTGGTCTTTTTGTTGGCCAGTGGGGAGCTCATAGCAAGGAGTTTAGGCCAGTCACAATGGATGCATAGTTCTGTCAGAGACATAGCAGGCTCTGTTTTACTAGCTCAAGAGTTGGCAAATACAGTCTGTTCATACCAGGAAAAACTGAATTCCTTAACTCTTTAACAGTGAAGGGAGAACAACTTGCTTTTGGCCTTATTTTCCCCTAATTTTTTTTGCCTTGCTATTTATAAAGTGAATGCACACCTCTAATCAGTAATATGGGTTTAGTTCGCGTTGTGTAAACATAATCTTGAGAGCTTAAAGCATTCATGTGTTTGATTGCTTTGCTTTGTAGAGTCTTTTGGTGTCAGCATGACTCAGCACTTGAGCAAGATGGTTTCAGTATAAGATTTGCTTTAAAAATCCAGCATGTGAAGTTCTAAGATCGTTCACAAGTGGCCATGAGAAGTGAGGATCATAGTCCCTGGCACTGATGAGCTTTGTGTTAAGTGACAACACACTGGCTGTCCGACATGAGTTATTTGCGTTTAGAAAACAGGCTGGAGTTACAAAATGTTACATGAAATGTTATTTGTTTGGCAAAGTCTTTCTGAGCTCTGAAGATGGGCTTTCTTCTGTGTCGTGCTAAAGGGAGAGGATAAAGGCTGTGACTTCCAATGTTTCAGCTCTTACCTCCTGGCTATGATAGAAATTAAATTGTTTTTCTTAACAACAAAAGACCTCAAAATAGTACAGTACTAAAATTAGAACTTCACAGTTGTGACCGCAAGATGTGTAACGGAATAATTTTCCAATCTCTTGACGGAAACGTCAAACATAAAACCCTAATGCCTGCCGCCTCTTGGAGACCCGGTTGCAGAGCAAACAGGCACATAGATGTTTCTTTTACAGGCTCTGTTCTGCCTGTACTTGATGTAAAACCTGCATGCAGCTCGTTTTCCCTTCCTGCTTTTTTTCCTGTGCTGCAGACCGACATTAACCTGCCGTACCTTACCATGGATGCCTCTGGACCAAAGCACTTGAACATGAAGCTGAGCCGCTCGCAGTTTGAGGGCATTGTAGCTGATCTCATCAAAAGGACGGTAGCACCGTGCCAGAAAGCCATGCAGGATGCTGAAGTCAGCAAGAGCGACATCGGGGAAGTCATCCTCGTCGGTGGCATGACCAGAATGCCAAAGGTATGAGATAAGTCCCTGTTACAGGCAAAGCTGGCACAGCTGCCCAGTGCTGTCTGTTAAGGGTGATCTGTAGCAGGAAAGTTGGGGTCTGATAACTTCAGAGCTCCAGCAGCTGAGGTGCCCCAGGAGCAGAGCAGACAGACTAAGGAGTCAAATGAAAGCAGTGGCAAGGGACTCTCATCCTGTTGAATTATCTCAGCTTGGATCTGGGGGCTGTAGCTGAAGTTGCACTTCACAAAGACAAGTGGGAGGTATCAGGAGATGAAAATTCCACTTGACTCTCTGATGCGGACCGAACATACGCAGCATTGTTCAGATACATGGTGGTGTCTCTTGGTGTGGACGTCAGTGTGTGATAAAGGTACACTTCAGTGACAATAACCTATCAGTAATCTTTGCCTTCCAGTGGATTTCTTCCACTGCATGGAGCACTTACAGCTAGCTCTAAGTTCTGCACAAGCAGAACGGCTCTGTCACCTGCTGGCTGTGTGTATTCAGCTACCTGTGTGAGCCTGGGTGTTGTCAGGTATATTTAACTGGCTGCTCCAAACCTGGTTACCTAACACCTGGCCCTCGTGTTCTGTGGTGATAAGCACCAACAGGTAACTTCAAAGCTTGTTCTGCTGACATGCACGGTCTTGCAGATAAGGTGGTGTCTGCTGGTGATTGACTGTTCTTGTTCGCAGTAACGCAGGCTGCTGCTTCGTTCCCTTGAAGTCAGAGCTGAACGCGCATGTACGCTGCTCTCCTCAAGGGTACAGCTTGTCCTTTTCTACAGAGATCATCCAAATCTCCTTCCGTAGGGATCAGTCAGGCTTGGACTATTTGTTTGCTGTTAAGATTTGTAACTTGCATGTCCTTTCTAGGATAATAGATCTGTACGTGGTCCTGCTTGGGATTGATGTGGGGTTGTTGGTGTTTTTTTTTTCTTCCCTAAGTGTTAAATGAGCCTGGTGGCTGGAGGTGATACTAGTGTGTGCAGAAGGTCACCCAGGCAGGGCAGCCAGAGCAACAAGATAAGCAGAAGCTGCTTGCTCTGGCCAAGGCTCAGGTGGAGTAACTGGGCAATACCTTCCCAAAGCCCCGGCTGTTCAGCTGGATAAAGGAAGGTGGTGTGGTTAGCTGCACATAAAGTGATGAAAAACAATTCTAGAAGCGGGGAAGCCCTTCCTGAAATATTATGTATTCTTTGGGGGTGGGAGATGATACTTAAATATTGATTTTTATTTTTTTTTTTTTTTAATGCCCTGTTTATAACCTCCCAGTATCTGTGGCTTTGAGCTTCCATAATGATCTCCTGAGTGCCTGTAGTTACAGCTCTGGCTCCAGGATCAATGCCTGACACGTTGCACGGAGCACAGAGCCTTCTCCCGTGTATGTTGTTGAGTTTGTTTCGCCCTGCTCAGAGAGAACGTGCCACCTTTGGAGCGCTGGCATGGCCGGTGCTCCAGGAAACATACAGTGGGTGGCGAGAAGTCATATTTCTTTTGTACCGTAAAATACGCCTCCAGAGGGCAAGACTGGCACCTGATTACGTGCTCAGACGTAAAGTGGCCTCCTCTGTAATGAACACTCCTCGCAGGTGTCTCTTGGCTTAAGTGCCGAGGAGGAGTTGGACATTTGCTTACGGCAGTTTTCCGGACACGTAACGCTCACCTGTGCCCACGTGTGCTTTGTGGGTGTACTCAGAGGAGGGATGCTGTGAGTGGGAATGAATTCCCACACCCTTCTCACATGAGGCAGAGGAGTGGACTACTGAGCCCTGCTCTGGTGCAGACACCTTGTTGCATTCCCGTGTGGACACTTTAGCAGTAAATCTGTTGCAATCATGAGCACGTCCTTCCCACAGGGCACAGCAGTGAAAAGCTGGGAACAAGCTCAGAGTGTCTGCTGAGATAGCAGATCGACTTCTCTGGTGCAACAGCCCATTAAATAAAGAATTTGAAAATACTGTCCTTCTGCTCTGGACTTTTTTTACCTTCCCTGCGCGCTGCACCGTCCCTGACAGCCGTGTCCTGCGCAGCGTTGGCTTGTGCAAGTTCCTGGGGAGCAGTCCTTGACTCCTGCTTGCTGAGCACGGAGCGGTCCCTCCTGAACATGGCTGGGCTACGTGAAAGGACTGATGGAGGCTGCCGTGCAGCTGGCAGACTTGATTGCAAGAAAGTCTCCAGAGGAGAGGTTGTCTAGACTGAAACGAGAGCGTTTTCCAGTGCCTGGAAGATGGGGAGTTAGGGAGCAGTCACAAGCCTGAAGCTTAGTATTTCTGCCGTGCCACAGGGTTACGTGGCAGGAGGAGCAGAAAGATACAAACCTTTTGCCAAGGCTGGCGTGTTCCTGTGGCTGCAGCACTGGGCAGCACTGGAGCCTTAGTTCACTCTGCATACGAGCTGTGCTTTCTCTCCATTCAGGTGCAGCAGACTGTGCAGGATTTGTTTGGCCGTGCTCCGAGCAAAGCGGTTAATCCTGACGAAGCCGTTGCTATTGGTGCAGCTATTCAAGGTGGCGTGTTAGCTGGTGACGTTACGGATGTGCTGCTGTTGGATGTGACTCCCCTCTCCTTGGGGATTGAGACGCTGGGAGGCGTCTTCACAAAGCTCATCAACAGGAATACTACCATACCAACGAAGAAGAGCCAGGTATGAATTAACTCTAGATGGGTGGGTCTTTTGTGGTGGTCTCAAACACCCAGTGAAGGCATCCTGGTAGATAGTCTTGTCTCCTTCTCGTCTGTCAAGGGGAAGCAGCATAGAAATCAGGTTTAACGTCAGCCACTGAGTATCGCTGTTGATTATTAGTGTGCCCAAGAGGGGAGGTAAGTTGAATTCATGTGTGCCAGGATGCCCCAGGATGTTTGGGCCTGGTCAGCATTGCAGTGTGTGTGCCGTGATGTAACTGTCAACACATCATTCTGAAGAATTGTGTGGAGACCTTCTGCAACTGAGCACCACACCCGTTTGAGACCACCTTTCTTGGTCTGCGTGCCTCAGAAGGGATTATTTTTATCCTGTGTTGTAACACCCTTGTAGACTTGGGTGTGATACTTTTTTTCACTTTGCTGTGTGTGGGTCTGCTCGTGTGTGCTCTTGCTGATAACACTTGTTCTCTCTGGGGTGTGGGGTTTGGGCAGGAGCCCTGCTGCTTCAGGAGGAAATGTTTGCCTGCCACTGGCATGCTGCTGGCATGGCAGTGCCAGTTTTCGTGTCCTCAAGCACATGTAGGATGTGATGCCCGTCACCTTGGCTGTTGCTAGTCTTGGTGCCTTGGTGTTTTGTCAGAGGAACAGGGGAGCATGAGCATTTAATGATTCTTTCTCTCTTCAAAGTAGCTTCTTTTTATTCTTTTCCTTTTTGTGTGGTCAGTTTGTGACTGCACCCATTCACATGTTGCAATTCACCAGGTAGCCAGTAACTTTTTGTCCCTTTTCCCCAGGTGTTTTCTACAGCTGCTGATGGACAAACTCAAGTGGAGATTAAAGTATGCCAGGGGGAGAGAGAGATGGCTAGTGACAACAAACTTCTCGGCCAGTTCACATTGGTAGGTTGGCTACTCAGTTTTCATGACCTTAGACTTGACTTTCTTTGAGGAGTTCAAAGCCTTCTCCATTTCAGTTGACCACTGAAGGCAGTGTTGCGCAGAGTCGTCTTATAGAAGACATTTGACCCTCTTGGTAGTTAAAAAAGCAGCCTCTGAAGGCACAGCCTGATTCCGGGGCAGCCTTTCAGTGGCAGAGTAGCAACTAGCATTTAGAATCATAGAATCACAGAATGTTTTG